TCTATCTAGGCTGGAATATTGCTGCACACTAACAGCACCTTTCAAGGCAGGTGAAATTGCCGACCTAGAAAATGTACAGAGAACTTTCACGGCGCGCATAACGGAGATAAAACACCTCAATTATTGGGAGCGCTTGAGGTTCCTAAACCTGTATTCCCTGGAACGCAGGAGGGAGAGATACATGATTATATACACCTGGAAAATCCTAGAGGGACTAGTACCGAACTTGCACACGAAAATCACCCACTACGAAAGCAAAAGACTTGGCAGACGATGCACCATCCCCCCAATGAAAAGCAGGGGTGTCACTAGCACGTTAAGAGACCATACAATAAGTGTCAGGGGCCCGAGACTGTTCAACTGCCTCCCAGCACACATAAGGGGGATTACCAACAGACCCCTGGCAGTCTTCAAGCTGGCACTGGACAAGCACCTAAAGTCGGTTCCGGATCAGCCGGGCTGTGGCTCGTATGTTGGTTTGCGTGCAGCCAGCAGCAACAGCCTGGTTGATCAGGCTCTGATCCACCAGGAGGCCTGGTCTCAGACCGGGCCGCGGGGGCGTTGACCCCCGGAACTCTCTCCAGGTAAACTCCAGGTAACCCACCAACAAACTATTCTACCCAAGAAATAAGAATTTTAAAAATTATTATTTGTCCAATGTATTATTAAATTCTTCCCAAATTCTATTAATTATAAATGGATCTAATTTATATAAACCAAAGAAAATATTCATATTATTGTCAAAACTGCTTTTTATGAAACAAGATTCACTGAGTCGCGCATCAGGTGTTTCTTTGCTGTGGGATCTGATAGTGAGGTGTGGGCTACCCCTTTATATACCTTCCTTTGATGCTTTACTTTCATCGTTCCTTGATAATGTGAGTAGTCACGAAAGCGCTTGGAATTTCTCTATTCTTTCACAGTGGTTGTTTTGCATATATATATATATATATATATATATTATATATATATATATATATATATATATATATATATATATATATATTATATATGTCGTGCCGAATATGTAAAACTGGTCAATTAGCAAAAACTCATTTAAAATTAAGTCCTTTCTGAAATTTTCTCTTATACGTTTAAAGATATATTTTTTTCATTAATGTTGATGTAAAAATTTATAATTTTGCACCAAAAGAATCTTAGAAAACTTACCTAACCTTATGATAACAAGAACAATTTATTTTAGCCCAACCCAACTATATATATTTTAGATTTGTTTACAATAATTTAATACTAAACAAACACAGTGAAAAATATTTTTTTCGTTAGGTTCAGAATGATTTTGGCGAAATTATTGCATACACAAATTTTCACTTGTCCTATATGGCAAGATGAGCGTTGCTATTTAAGCCAAGATCGCAAGTTCTGCCTATTCGGCACGACATATATATATATATATATATATATATATATATATATATATATATATATATATATATATATATATATATATATATATATATATATATATATATATATATATATATGTATGTATATATATATATAATATATATATATATATATATATATATATATATATATATATATATATATATATATATATATATATATATATATATATAATATTATATTTATATATATATACATACATACATACACACAAGGTTTTCCCTGAGCTGCCAACAAGGACAGGAAATTCATGTCTTGTGAAATTCCACCTATTATACGTGGTGGGAAATTTCCTTATTCTCAATATATCATTTTTAACTTCACTCAAACGCTGTCTTCCAGCGGGTAGAATGATTCAGCAACTTCTGGCATCCCATGATGATTCTCTTCAAATCGCTTGTGCTCTCTAGGCTGGAATATTGTTGTACACTAACTGCCACATCGATACCATGCCTAACCCTTCTAGGGTAGGGTAGGTGCCTGAGCCCGAGCCTTTAGCTCATAAGACTGTCATTCCCATTTGCCCCCTTGGGGCGGGGATGGCAGACCAGAGAGGCCTAGCTTGTGGCTAGGCCTGGGGACAGTTGGTCCCAAAGATGAGGAGGTACTTGTGCCTCCCCCCATGGGAGACTTAGGTCTCAGACACTCCCTAAAGTGGGAGCCAAGGCCGGGCCACCACTTGGAAAAGGCCCGGGCCGGGAGAATACCGGCTAATCTTTAATAATAATAACTAACTGCCACCTTCAAGGCTGGCGACATTGCTGACCTGGAGAGTGTACAAGGAACTTTAACGACACACATAAGTGCGTTAAGGCACCTAAATTACTGGGAACAGTTGAAGGTCCTTGATCTGTATTCCCTGGAACGCAGGCGAGAAAGATACATGATAATTTACACTTGGAAGGTCCTGGAGGGATTGGTACCAAACCTGCACACGAAAATCACTCCATATGAAAGCAAAAGACTCGGCAGATGTAACATTCTCCCGACGAAAAGCAGGGGCGCCACTAGTACACTGAGACAACATAGTAAGTGTCCGGGGCCCAAGACTGTTCAATTGCTTCCAAGCATACATAAGGGGGATTACCAATAGACCCCTGACTGTCTTCAAGAAGGTACTGGATAGGCACCTAAAGTCAGTACCTGACCAACCGGGCTGAGGTTCCTACGTCAGCTTGCCACCATGAGGCCTGGTCTCAGACCTGGCCGCGGGGGCGTTGATCCCCAAAATCCTCTCCAGGTAAACTCCAGGATGGAACGTTCAATAGATCTGCAGTAGGCCTACTGGTCCATGCTAGGCTGGTTCTTCCGAAACCTTCGCTCACTGTGGGAGAGGAATCTCCTTCAAGGGTTCTTGATCCGAGGAGCTGGAGCAGACTTTCCTCGGCCTCAGGCCATATGCTGACCCCATACAGTTTTAGCGCTTTCCCCTCATAATAATAATAATAATAATAATAATAATAATAATAATAATAATAATAATAATAATAATAATAATAATAATAATAAAAATAATAATAATAAAAATCACGCGTCATCGTCTAAAAAACGATGACGTAACAATGACGTCAGAGCTTGGGGTGTCCCACTGATCACAAAATAATATTTCCCAGAAACATTCGTCTATTTTTCTTATGGAGGTGAGACCAGCTGACCTGTGAGGTCAAGAAGATTCCTGCAGGAACCTGCAGGAGGACCTCAGTAGGTCATAGAGTGTTGAGGTTATACAAGGTAAAAGGCCAGGCCAAACCTGACGCTACTCCCACCATTGAACAAGAAATAGTAATAATAGTAATAGTAATAGTAGCATTGGTAACAGTATTAGTTACTCTTCTCTCTCTCTCTCTCTCTCTCTCTCTCTCTCTCTCTCTCTCTCTCTCTCTCTCTCTCAGGAACAGGTTAGGTCACGGGTAAGAGAGACACAAGAGCAGCCAGTGGAAACACACCTCTGTGTCTCTATGCAGTAGATCCATAATAGAACAGTACTCTGAGAGATCACGTACAGATATATCTCACATGTTACTAAGACAACCCACCTCTTGGAAGTGAGACGCTTCTTGATGTACTCTTCATGTACTCTTCATGTACTCTTCATGTACTCTTCATGTACTCTTCATGCACACTTCATGTACTCTTCATGTACTCTTGATGTACACTTCATGTACTCTTCATGTACTCTTCATGTACTCTTAATGTACACTTCATGTACTCTTCATGTACTCTTAATGTACACTTCATGTCCTCTTCATGTACACTTAATGTACTCTTGTACTCTTAATGTACTCCTGATATACACTTGATGTACTCTTCGTGTATTCTTGATGTACTCTATGTACTATTGGGGTACTCTTGATGTATTCTAGGCACACACACACAGTACCTAAAAAGAAAAGGGCTCATACACGACAACCAGCACTGCTTCAGGGAAGGGAAATCCTGCGTCACAAATCTACTGGAGTTTTAGGACAAGGTGACGGAAAGAAGGTAGGAGAGAAAGGGATAGGTAGACTGAATCTTCTTGGACTGTAAGAAGGCTTTGGACACAGTAACACACAAGAGACTGGTTGAAAAGTTAGTGGAGCAGGCAGGATAGCAGGGAAAGTACTGTAGTGGATCAGGGAATACCTGACAGGAAAGAAACGTGTGTTGGTACGTGACGAGGTGCTCAGAGTGGGTGCATGTGTCGAGCGGGGTTCCACAAGGGTTAGTCATAGGCCCGGTGCTGTTTCTAGTATATATACGAGGATCAGGTACGCCTACAAAGCTGCAAGCCTGGTCTGACAAATGGCTCCTGGAGTTTAACCCCAGCAAGTGCAAAGTTATGAGGCTTAGGGAAGGACAAAGAAAACCTTGGACGGAATACAGGCTAAGTGGTCAAAGGTTGCAAAACTCACTCAAGGAAAAGGATCTTGGGGTGAGTATAATATCGAGCACATCTGAGGTGCACATCAACCAGATAACTAGTGCAGCATACAGGCTCTTTGCAAACCTAAAAATAGTTTTTCGACACCTGAGTAAGGAATCGTTCAAGACACTGTACACTGTGTACGTCAGACCCACATTGAAGTATGCAACACCAGCATGGAACCCACATTTGGTCAAGCACGTCAAGACATTGACAGAAAGTGCAAAGGTTTTGAACAGGACTAGTCCTGGAGCTAAGGGGCATGTCCTACGAGGAGAGGTTAAGGGAACTAACCTGACGACACTGGAGGACAGAAGAGATGAGGGGGGGGGGACATGATAACGACATATAAAATACTGAGAGGAATTAACAAAATGTTTTTAGAGATGTGACACAGCAACAAGGGGCCACAACTGGAAGCTGAAGACTCTGATGAGTTACTGGGATGTTAGGAAGTATTTATTCAGTCATAGAGTTGTCAGGAAGTTGAACAATCTGGAGAGCGATGTAGTGGAGAGAGTGGACCTAGTAGCGACCAGTGACGAGGCGAGGCCAGGAGCTATGAATCGACCCCTGCAACCACAAATAGGTGAACACACACACACACACACACACACACACACACACACACACACACACACGCAGCTACACCTGGGCTCCACACTGACAGTGTTCTGGTGGTCGTGGTGAAGGTTGGTTGTGTGATAGTGTTGATCAGTGTGCTGGAACCTCAACATTACCTCGCAACACAAACACATTGTCGTGCATAGAGTACAGAACTCGCTGCAACACTCTGCTGTAGTACATAGAGTACAGAACTCGCTGCAAAACTCTGCTGTAGTACACAGAGTACAGAACTCGCTGCAACACATTGCTGTAGCGACCAACCCGTAAGAATATTAATTGACGGGAATTACCTGAAGGTTTTCAACATTCTTGACCAAGATTCTTGGTTAGGATTCTTCACCAAGAAGATTCTTGACCTAAATTTTTGGCCAGTAATATTCTTCAACCAAGATTCCTATGACAGATTCAAACATTTCTCAACACGTCAGAAAATTTTAAAACTTCCAAAGGTAAAGTCTCATACGATTTCTTCTACCCAGGTACCACTCAGCTCTTACAAAGTTCCTCTCTATACACTCCAACATTACCTTTGTAAACACGGCGAGTTAAAACACCAAAAACTATATATACCGAGTGGTTTTTCGCCCCCAAAAAGTCACGGTATATGAAGGAGCTTCGCAAGAAAGCTCGCTGCATATTGACATTAGTAGTTTATAAGCATTATTAATGCTGTTATAAGAGATAATTACTTGGGAATTTTCACAGCCTCTTTCGTGTTAATTAAGGAATGAGGCGCCGGTCAGGTGGTGGGAGAGGTCAGGTGTCATACGAGGTCAGATGCCAGAAGTCCTAAAATCGGATTTCAAGTCACACCACATCACATACATATCATCACATCACATAGCATGGGGCCACCCCTCAGATACCACCTCACTTCACATCACACAGCAGATCACCACTGTCACAGCTTGTGTAATATTATTACCATTAACAGAGTGTGTAAATAACAATACTTGTGCACACACACAGCAACTTCTGCCGATAGAGACGCCACACATCTGGTAGGTATCTGAACGTTGATACAGAAAGAACTAGAACCAGTGTGGGAAAACCAGGAGAGGCGGAGTAGGTCAGGTAGCGTGGATACAAAACTTGCTGGGGCTCAGGAAGCTGTGATAGGTACTCTGTCTTACCTGACTTCTGTGTTGTGCATGGGTAACATCATCCTAGCCAGTCTCAGAGACGCCTAGAATGGTCTGCCTAGTATGGGCTAGCAGGTCTGCTGCTGTGTTGGGTGTAAGACCTACCTAGCATGGGCCAGCACGTCTACTGCTGTGTAGGATGTGAGTAGGGCCTTCCCCTATCATGGGCAAGTAGGTCTACTGCAATGTTGCTCTTCTGATGTTTTTGTAAACATGACATTGTTGTTGATCAATGTAACGTAATAATATTCAGAGAAACACTGGGCTAACTGGCAGCTTCATGTTTCAGCCTCACCGCTGAGGCTTCAACCGAGGTTTCTCCTGGAGTTTCAGCTGAGGCTTCAACAGAAACCAAGCTTTCTGGTCTTCAACATACGACAGTTTCATTGGAGGCTTCAGACTCACATAATAATTCCAATAACATGTTCATTGGAGAAGTCCAGTACAGATGCTCAAAAATCCGGGAAAAGGGATTTAATGCACAATTGTTATAGATTCCATCACATATTGGATTACTCCTTCATCATAAAGTTATGTTAGCCAAGAAAAGTACCCAGAAGGAGAATGTAGAATATAACTTTGGTGTATCTGTGTCTAGCATTAGGAATAATATTACGAGAGAAGTAAATTTTGAGACTGAGTGTTATAGAAATACAATTAGAAGCCTGGCAAGACCTATAACCCACTATGATAACATGAACGTAGATAAGTATGTTTATGGAGCAACTTGCAATGTAGTGGCCAAGCTTAGGCTTGGTAACAAGTACTTCTGACACTGGCAGACACACGGATGGTTGTCAAACCAAACGCAATATGGCCAACCCTGTGGTCACTGTCCTGAACACTGTGCTTTATTGTCCACTTATTGAAGAATATAGAGACAGTAAAAAAAAATATATATTAAGCAAATTTCCTAAATTTGCTCGTTACAGATAAGTGAACTGTAGATATAAATCCAGATGTACACCTGTTAACCCTTTTGGGTCCTTGTTCCTAGGCCTTTTGTGTATCCATATGTTCTTGCTCTACCCTCCACTGGATGGATATGACGTGCACAATAAACTAGCCACTTCGGTGGCAATTTCTAACAGTTTTCCTGGTCTTCAACATACTCCAGATTTCCTGGTCTTCAATGCACTCCAGACTTTCTGTACTTAACTCATCGACTGACAAGAATTCAGCGTTCAGCATCACCCACCATCACCACCACCACCATCACTACCACCACCGTCACCACCATCACCACCACCATTATCACCACTACTACCACCCCCGCTAAAACAACCATCACCACTACTACCACCCCACTCAAACAACCACTACTACCACCATCACCACCACCATTATCACTACTACTACCACCCCCGCTAAAACAACCACCACCACCATCATCACCAGTACTACCACCCCCACTCAAACAACCACTACTACCACCATTAACAGAAGGATATAATTCACGCATGGCTGCCTGGACCACACTGCTTCCCTTGCTGTGGTTCAAGTCCTCACTGAACCACCTCCTCACACGCACCAACACACACGCCAGCCTTGGACACACATACAGGGAAACCTACCTACCTGCTGCTCCTCATCCTGGTTTTATTTTTTCATACAGAGAAATGTTTGTGTTGATAAGGAATTAGACATGTGCAACATCTGGGTATCTTTATTGTAAAGATACCCAGATGTTGCACGTGTCTAGTTCTTTATCTTGTGTCTATTGAACAGCATATATATATATATATATATATATATATATATATATATATATATATATATATATATATATATATATATATATATATATACAATAGTGCAAATCAACCACGGGGGAATTTGAATGATAGTTCTAGGCCTATTGTGTTGCAATCAACACATCTTCAGGAATTTGCAGTATTGCATAAATTCGTACAAGGGAATGACTCCAGCTAGAGTCGTTCCCTGAACGAATCTTCTTGGAATTCCTAGTCATCTCTGCAACATTGCAAGCTCTTGGAGATGTGCTGATTACAACACGAAAGGCCTAGAACTATCATTCAACAGCCCCCCCAGTGGTTATTTTGCATCTTACATCACTTGTTGGTGATTATTACATTGTGTTGATGTAGGTTTAGCGGTGACTCGCTCGAACTACACATAAAACATCTCCCATCAACCAATAAGACGTGAAGTTGAAAGCGTAACTTGTGATTCGTGGTTTAAACTACGTTCATTACTAAAACAGGATTGATATTAACTAATTTAGGCACAAATAACCAACTTCTACATTGTTCATAGAACTGTGATTGTCCGCACTCCAGTGATCCCTGCCACCTCACCTTACCACTATTATTATTAATACTCCTACGCTTACTATTACTACTATTGTTGTTATTATTATTATTATTATTATTATTATTATTATTATTATTATTATTATTATTATTATTATTATTACTACTACTACTACTAGGTACATACAAGTCCCAGGTGTTTCACAACTAGTGTTCAGTATGTGATGTTATCGTTCACGTTGCATTAAGCTTGCAGGAGTGTGGAGGTGCAACCCCCAGGATGTGCTTGCTAACTTTATTGCAAAGATCTGGTTGGGTGAGTTAGCGACCGCATGACGGGCTCGCTTGCAACCTTGGGCTGGTCGAGAGATAGATAGAGAGAGATAGATAGAGATAGAGAGAGAGAGAGAGAGAGAGGGGGGGGGGGATCTCGAACAAAGGAAACGTCGGCATCAATGAGAAGACGAAAATAAAACTATTTTTAATTTCCACCTTAATGTTTTTGTATCACAATTAGATACAGTCGAGTGGGGAAGCCCAGGGATTGAAGCCTTCCAGGATGCGGCTTCCACCACCTCTAATGTTTTCCCGTAGTTCGGTTGGTAGCGCACTTACCTCACACACTGAAGTCCGTGGTTCGATCCCCGGTACGGGTGGAAACAGGGCGTGTTTCCTTAAGACACCTGCTGTCCATGTTCACCTAGCAGTAAAATAGGTACCTGGGTGTTAGTGGACTGGTGTGTATACCTGGAGAGGGTTCCGGTGGTCAATGCCCCCGCGGACCGGTCTGTGACTAGGCCTCATGGTGGACCAGAGCCTGATCAACCAGGCTGTTACTGTTGGCTGCACGCAACCCAACGTACGAACCACAGCCCAACTGGTCAGGTATTTACTCTAGGTGCCTGTCCAGCGCCTGTGGGTCGCATCCTGGGGTCAAAATAGACCTAATTTGCTCTTTATATAGTAGTATGTTATTGATGTCAACTATGGTCTGTATACCTTGTACATGTACTGGTAGTAATAAAGATTTATTATTATTATTATTATTATTATTATTATTATTATTATTATTATTGTTATATTTTGGTGTAGCAGTTCCTAGGGTAAGACCAGAGTGGGCTAAGTCACTGATGGCTCGGTTTACTGCTAGGTAAGCAGGGGCAGCAGGGTGACTAGTTGGTTAATGGGGGGTTTAAAGCCTATCTAGTACACGAGGGTCAAGGTCAGGCTGCAGGTCACCTGGTAACCACCAGTCAGGAATACTTTAATACCTAAAATAATGATTAATTTCAACTCTCTGGAGATATACACTGAGAGGTAAACAGCTATCACTGTATATACACTAAAGTATACATACCTTTCACTGTATATACACTGAGAGATATACACCTCTCAGTGTATGCACACTGAGAAAACCACGCCTCTCGGTTTATATACACCGAGTTATACACACCGCTCAGTGTATATAAAGTGAGGAATATACACCTCCTTACTCATCCTGGCATCAGGTATGTAAAGACACACTAGAGGTGAGAGTTCAGCTCACCACTAAATTGTTATTCTTCTCAGTCCACCTTGATGTCGGTCAAGGGCTCTTGATTAAAGGCACTCTAGCTATCCCTCTCCCACCTTGAACTAAATCTCTGTATCCCTCAGGCAGCGTGTGTACCTCCAGTATTCCAGTAAAACTTTTCCACTATGAATGGCCCTTTTTTCTTTACAGATGTGGCATTCACAATGCCTTGTGGTGGCACTGCTGGCAGCGTCGGTGTGTCAGAATGCCAGGGCCAGTCCTCAGGATGCCAAGAGGGTCAGAAGACAAGGTAATAGCGGCGTGGAAAGTGAGTATAAGTGATGTACTTCCAGATTGTTTAAACTTCAGTAGATTGCTTACCTTCACCCGCGTTGCTTTGCTTCTTGGGACCAAGCAACCTGGCCCCCCAGTACACCTCCAGTACACCCCAGTACACCTCCAGTACACCCCAGTACACCCCAGTACACCTCTGGTGTACTTCCAAGTACACCTCCAGTACACCTAGTACATCCCAGTACACCTCCAGTACACCTAGTACATCCCAGTACACCTAGTACATACCAGTAGACCTCCAGTACACCCCAATGCACTTGGGTCATGGCTTCCAGTCCCGTGAAATACTGGATCGATTAGTCTTATAATGTAGTGATGCCTAGGTTGTCGTGTGCTTAAAACACCAGCGTTACCCCTCCAGGCACTAGCCTCGCCAGAACATTACTAACTCACCACCCAAGTCTCCATCACTTATTTAAATAATGATATTAGCTGGGACATGCAATATGAATTGTATCGCAGTTGTAACGAAGATATCGTCTTGCGGCAGCTATTGTGTTCGGTGGGTCGACACAGCGGGATCCTGACCAGTGCAGGACACCTGACGGAGATGGTGGCAGGTGTGTCAGAATGCTGGACTGTACTGCCATCTATGACCAGTTCAGGAGCAACCCCACGCCAGAGTTCCTGACCTTCCTGAGAAGGTAGGTCAACCTTGTTTCATGTGTGTGTGTGTGTGTGTGTGTGTGTGTGTGTGTGTGTAGCATTTAATGGTTTACATACATAGAGGTTCTTGCGGTATGCAATGACATCAACATCCCCTCCTTATCATAACACAAAAGATGGCAAAATATTCATCTGGTGTAATAAACTATAAAGGTTTGAAGGCTCCAGCGCCAACACTGACCTTAACACCTCACTTACTGACTCTTCCTTCAGGAGCATCTGCAGGTTTGAGAAGACGACTCCTATCATATGCTGCAGCAACACCATCCTCTCTTCTCTGATCAGTTCTTCAACTACTCCAGCCTCCACCACTACTTCCTCCACCACTACTGCCTCCACTACTACTGCCTCCACCACTACTGCCTCCACCACTACTACCTCCACCACTACCACTACAACTTCCACCACAACAAGTTAGTAGTCTCAGGGAAAAAAAACGTTTATAGCTGTAAATATTGTAAAACAACACCCTCACATAAAGTGACAGCGAGGGAAATATGGCAATAAATCTGTAACATTTCTTTACAGCTTCGACGACCACCACGGAGGTGCCATTGACGACAGCTGAAGTGCCATCCACGACCACGGAGGCGCCAACAACGACAACTGTCTCCTCAACCACGACCCCTGTGCCAGAAACAACGACCACGACTCCACCGCCTCCTACAGGAATCCGGCTTCTGCCGCAAGATGTCTGTGGGATATCTAATGTGAACACTATTAGGATAGTAGGGGGAACACCGCCTCCCAAAAGTAAGTACTAAGATACTAGGGGAAACTGCCTCTGGTAGGTAAGCTACAGAGAGAGACAAGTGGGTCATGGCCTCAAGAAAACAAAAGTATCTAGAGGGTGAGGTGAGTGTTGCGTATAGGTTGTTTACATAAAAAGTGCCAATTTAAGCCGGGAGATTTCAGTAGGGCGATGAGGATATAAGAACACATACAGACCAATTAATCTTAGTCTCTATGTGGGTTACACTTTAGTTATCCATTCCATTATTTTTTCAGCAGTTATTCCAGTCATGCTGGAGTTACTACTAGTAAATATTTAGGTCTTATAGGGATGAAGATACCTTGATACCAGAGAAGGGATAGTGGTTTTTAGGATCCTAATCCTAAAAACCACGATCCCTGGTTTTTAGGATCCTAATCCTAAAAACCACGATCCCTTCTCTGGTATCAAGGTATCGTCGTTAAAGAATTAGACTTATTTTACTCTCTCTTTCCTACGATCAGATTATCTCCCAAACACCAGGCACTCTGCCCTCTGTAGTTTTAACGTTTTTTTTTTCATGAATATAATGATGTTATTACATAGGCACTGCCATCTGTTAGTTAGTTTAATATGTTTATTATGCACCCCAGACCCATCCTATGGGTGGCAGTCAAAAGATTATAGAGGTACATAATGTGTCGAGGGACTGGGCCCCAAAGTTTTGATAGCTGAGCAAGCTACAACGGTAATGAACTCCAGGTCACAATCATGACAAGTTACAAAGGTATTTACAGATTACAGAGGTACATAATGGGTCCAGGGACTGGGCCCTTTATGTACCTCTGTAATCTGTAAATACCTTTGTAACTTGTCATGATTGTGACCTGCCATCTGAGTGTGTGTGTGTGTGTGTGCGGGAGAATAAGGGATGACCAGAGCCTGTTCGACAGATCTGTACCCATGGTTGGCTGCTCTGGGTTACGTTGACGGTCAAGGGAAGGTTGAGTTCCTGTGTGGTGCTGCACTCATCACCCACCAGCACCTGGTCACCGCTGCTCACTGTGTCAGGAGTCGCAGCGACCTGTAAGTCCGCTCCGCCAGTGTATCGTCCTTTCTTGTACAGTATGTGACCAATTTCTGTCCTCGCTTCACTGCCCTACCTCTTCTCATTCTCTTTTACTCTCCTTACACCTCTCCCTCTCGTCTCACTCATCCCTCACTCACGCCTCGCTCACGTCTCACTCTCCCTCATTCTCCTCCACAGGAAGATCGTCAGGTTGGGTGAGCACGACCTCAGCATATCGAACGAAACAGTTCACGAAGACTTCAATATCATGAGCCAGAGTTTCCACGAGAACTTCGATCCCATCTCCTACGCCAACGATATAGCTGTTATTAAGATGGATAGACCCGCTACTTTTAGGAGTAAGTGAGACAGAGAGAGAGGGAAAGAACGATTATCTATTTGTGAGTATCTATTTTTCCCAAGGACTTGACCCACAACATTCGACTAACACCCAGTTACCTATTTAATGCTAGGTGAATAGCAACAGGTATAAAGAGGTTAACACCCATGTACCTACTTACTGCTAGATGACAACTATAGTATATATGCCCATCACTTCTGTCCATGAAATGAGATTTAACAGAAGAGTAAATGCAGCAAAAATGTGGTGTTGGAGATCACATTCTTCCCAGTTGGTCCTCAGGACTCCTTATATTTAATACTCGCATACTGGGGCTTGATCAGTCCAATACAGTGCGGTGGTATGGACTTTGGAGTCCATTCCAGGGCGATATGTTGAAAAGAACGATCTTCTTCTGTATAGATTAAGAACTATCGTCTATTATCTAAGTGTATAAGTCGAGGAGAGAATAGCAGGTCAGGTGAATTAGGAGGGGTCAGGTCTAACAAGGTAGGTAATAGGTTTGTCAGGAAACTGGATAAGTGCTTCTTGACGCGAGTCTTAGTAATATGATGACGCACAGCTGGAGCTTTTGGTCCCCTGACCGAGGCCTTCCACTGGCTTACCCCTCTACCCCTTTAAAAAGTATAGTAATGATTATAGATCATTGTATTGTATATGAATAGTATACAATACCGACAAGATGAAGAATTAAACACATACGTGGAGTATACCTGGAGAGGGTTTGGGGGTCAACGCCCCCGCTGCCCGGTCTGAGACCAGGCCTCGTGGTGGATCTGGGTATCTTTATTTGTAGACGTATCGCCATCCACTGGCTTTATCAATACACAAGGACATAATGTGAGAAATAAAGACACCCAGATATTGCACGTGTCTAATTCTTCACCTTGTAGCGTCCCTCACATGGGGTGACATCCACGCTGGTAGCGTCCCTCACATGGGGTGACATCCACGCTAGTAGCTTCCCTCACATGGGGTGACATCCACGTTAGTAGCTTCCCTCACATAGGGTGACACCCACGCTGGTAGCGTCCCTCACATGGGGTGACACCCACGCTGGTAGCGTCCCTCACATGGGGTGACATCCACGCTAGTAGCTTCCCTCACATGGGGTGACATCCACGTTAGTAGCTTCCCTCACATAGGGTGACACCCACGCTGGTAGCGTCCCTCACATGGGGTGACACCCACGCTGGTAGCGTCCCTCACATGGGGTGACATCCACGCTGGTAGCGTCCCTCACATGGGGTGACATCCACGCTGGTAGCGTCTCTCACATGGAGTGACATCCACGTTAGTAGCTTCCCTCACATGGGGTGACACCCACGCTGGTTCACATGGTTCTGGCTGCTCTCTTCTTCACTAGGTCGCTGAACTCCGTGTTTTTCTCCTGATCTGCATTGGACTGATAAAGTCAACAGTGGCAGAAACATTTCCGAATAACATATCCTAAGTGTTGTACACGCGTATTAATTCCCACATTTTTTTAGTCTTGCTATACCTAGTACTTGTGTATTTATTCCCACATTTTGTTAGTCTTGCTATACCTAGTACTTGTGTATTTATTCCCACAACCTGATAGTCTTGCTATACCTAGTACTTGTGTACTTATTCTCACATTTTGTTAGTCTTGCTATACCTAGTACTTGCATTATTTACGCCTGACACAACTTGTCTCCTCGTAGAAGGTATCAACGCCGTGTGTCTGCCTCTTCCTGGCAAATTCCGGGAGGACTCCTTGGTCGGTACTTCTGGTATCGTGGCAGGATGGGGCGCTGTCTCCTTCAGTAAGTATCTAAAGAAGTGGGCGCTACTTAAAAAAGTGCTGCAAAATACTCGTATGTACGTCTGTACACTTATAAGCACAGACAGGCAATAAAAGACCCAGACACACACATCTCTACCCCATTACAACAGTTCTTTATCTCTCAGAATGTAAGATTGTTATCCTATGTAATCTACACATATGTTGCTATATATGATAACCTATGTAACTGTATTTATGTGCACCTGTACCTAAATGAAAAGTTACCTACTTAGCAGTAGGTCTCTTGATCCACGCTAGGCAGGTCCTCCTCACACCCACAAGGACACTCATATATTCGTCTTATATAAACCTACTCATGGTAATAACATCAATGACGCTACGTTGAAGTGTTGTGATGGTCAATGGTAAAGTACCACTATTTTTTTAAGAATTTCTTTATTAACACATGGACTATGTAGTGTATAAATAAACTTGGTATCTTCACATAATATCTATAGCGTATTCCACTCGTCTATTATCTATCACAGGATATTACGCTCATCTATTATCTATCACAGGATATTCCAGTCGCCTATTATCTATCACAGGATATTCCACTTATCTATTATCATCTATTATGTATTGCCAAACGAGTTCTTTGCTTATTTTTCTACATTCCTGTTGGCTAAACTGGAACACAGGTCTACCACAATCAATATTTCTTGCAATACAATGTTCTTTTGGTTTCATTTCATGTTAAATATCACCACATCATATTTAAGAAAAAAATTATTTAGATGACTGATCTCCTTACCGTAGATTATTATTATTATTATTGTTAGTAATATCCCATAAGGGTTATCAAGGTATACACATATGTATACAGAGAGGTGTATTTCTCTCAGAAAAAGTATTTAAGGAAATGAAGGATATTTAGATCAATTTATTCAGATTCCTTAAACAGGTGTAGATTTTTGCAGTTATATAGCAACACATGTGTAGATTATCTAGGACATGCGAGTAAAGATGTCACAACCAGCACCGATGTTAGGACAAAAGTGAACCAGTAAGGTCAAGGTGATGTATTTTGGTTGGGTTAAAAAGTTTACTTAGGTATACGTACATATAAGTACAATTATTATACATAGTAACATGTGTGTAAATTACCCAGGATAACCCAAAAAGGTTAGATAAAGTGACTTATTTCTAGTGAGGTCCTTGTAATGTTACATAAAGCCTAGCTCGAAGATACTGTAGAAATCAGTTATGCTTATAATCTTAAAACAGCTCAACATACTTGGTAGGTTACTAATGAGGTTGTGGGCACAGATAACGTGTCGTCACCAACACTGCTGCACGTGCTCCTGCCGGTGATCGGGGAGTCAGAGTGTGCACTGAAGTACACCCGCTTCCGGCAGGTGAAGATCAACAACACTACCATGTGTGCTGGTGTTGGAGGACGCGACGCCTGCCAGGTTAGTCTCCCCTTCAACGCTCACATAATACACGTTCTCTCTCACTAACACACGTTCTCTCTACTACTGCTACTACAACTAATAAAAATATTATTAATACTATAATAATAACTTTATTTTCTACCCGTACATGTACAAGGTATACAGACCATAGCTGACATCAGTGACATACTATTATATAGAAAGTCGCTTGTTATGCTGAGCATTTCCCGCAAATTAGGTCAATTTTGTCCCAGGATGCGACCCACACCAGTCCACTAACACCCAGGTACCCATTTTACTGATTAGTGAACATAGACAACAGGTGTAAGGAAACACACCCAATGTTTCCACCCTTGCCGGGAATCGAACCCGGACACTCAGCGTGTGGAACGAGAGCCTTTGCCACCAGGCCACGAGCCTTGTGTCCTTGTTCGCCTAACAGTAAAATAGGTATCTGGGTTAGTCGACCGGTGTGGGTTGCATCCTGGGGCAAAATTGACCTAATTTACCCGAAATGCTCTGCATAACAAGGTGTTTTCTATATAGTAGTATGTCACTGATGTCAGCTATGGTCTCTACATTGTACATGCACTTGTAGATATAAAGATTCTTCTTTTTCTTCTTCTTCTTCTTCTTCTTCTTCTTCTTCTTCTTCTTCTTCTTCTTCTTATTATTATTATTATTATTATTATTATTATTATTATTATTATTATTATTATTATTATTATTATTATTATTATTATTATTATTATTATTATTATAATTCTTCTAAAGCATCTTCAGTCCGCCAGAAGTATCTCCGGCTCCTCAGTGTCATCCCCCAGTCCTGCAAAATCATTCCTAGTCTTCCAGAATCATCTCACCTCCCCCTTACCGCCTCCCCATAATGTTTATCTAACACTGACTTACTCACCAGTGTTGCCTCCCCATAATGTTTATCATCCAACACTGACTTACTCACCAGTGTTGCCTCCCCATAATGTTTATCATCCATCACTGACTTACTCACCAGTGTTGCCTCCCCATAATGTTTATCATCTAACACTGATTTACTCACCAGTGTTGCCTCCCCATAATGTTTATCATCTAACACTGATTTACTCACCAGTGTTGCCTCCCCATAATGTTTATCATCCAACACTGACTTACTCACCAGTGTTGCCCATAATGTTTATCATCTAACACTGATTTACTCACCAGTGTTGCCTCCCCATAATGTTTATCATCTAACACTGACTTACTCACCAGTGTTGCCTCCCCATAATGTTTATTATCCATCACTGACTTACTCACCAGTGTTGCCTCCCCATAATGTCTATCATCCATCACTGACTTACTCACCAGTGTTGCCTCCCCATAATGTCTATCATCCATCACTGACTTACTCACCAGTGTTGCCTTCCCATAATGTTTATCATCTAACACTGACTTACTCACAAGTGTTGCCTCCCCATAATGTTTATCATCTAACACTGACTCACCAGTGTTGCCTCCCCATAATGTTTATCATCTAACTGACTTACTCACCAGTGTTGCCTCCCCATAATGTTTATCATCTAACACTGACTTACTCACCAGTGTTGCCTCCCCATAATGTTTATAATCCATCACTCACTTACTCACCAGTGTTGCCTCCCCATAATATTTATCATCTAACACTGACTTACTCACCAGTGTTGCCTCCCCATAATGTTTATCATCCATCACTCACTCACCAGTGTTGCCTCCCCATAATGTTTATCATCTAACACTGACTCACCAGTGTTGCCTCCCCATAATGTTTATCATCTAACTGACTTACTCACCAGTGTTGCCTCCCCATAATGTTTATCATCTAACACTGACTTACTCACCAGTGTTGCCTCCCCATAATGTTTATCTTCTAACACTGACTTACTCGCCAGTGTTACCTCCCCATAATGTTTATCATCCATCACTGACTTACTCACCAGTGTTGCCTCCCCATAATGTTTATCTAACACTGACTTACTCACCAGTGTTGCCTCCCCATAATGTTTATCTAACACTGACTTACTCACCAGTGTTGCCTCCCCATAATGTCTATCATCCATCACTGACTTACTCACCAGTGTTGCCTCCCCATAATGTTTATCATCTAACACTGACTTACTCACAAGTGTTGCCTCCCCATAATGTTTATCATCTAACACTGACTCACCAGTGTTGCCTCCCCATAATGTTTATCATCTAACTGACTTACTCACCAGTGTTGCCTCCCCATAATGTTTATCATCTAACACTGACTTACTCACCAGTGTTGCCTCCCCATAATGTTTATCTTCTAACACTGACTTACTCGCCAGTGTTGCCTCCCCATAATGTTTATCATCCATCACTGACTTACTCACCAGTGTTGCCTCCCCATAATGTTTATCTAACACTGACTTACTCACCAGTGTTGCCTCCCCATAATGTTTATCTAACACTGACTTACTCACCAGTGTTGCCTCCCCATAATGTTTATCATCCATCACTGACTTACTCACCAGTTTTGCCTCCCCGTAATGTTTATCATCCAACACTGACTTACTCACCAGTGTTGCCTCCCCATAAGGTTTATCATCTAATACTGACTTACTCACCAGTGTTGCCTCCCCATAATGTTTATCTAACACTGACTTACTCACCAGTGTTGCCTCCCCATAATTATCATCCATCACTGACTTACTCACCAGTTTTGCCTCCCCATAATGTTTATCAACCAACACTGACTTACTCACCAGTGTTGCCTCCCCATAAGGTTTATCATCTAACACTGACTTACTCACCAGTGTTGCCTCCCCATAATGTTTATCATCTAACACTGACTTACTCACCAGTGTTGCCTCCCCATAATGTTTATCATCCAACACTGACTTACTCACCAGTGTTGCCTCCCCATAATGTTTATCCATCACTGACTTACTCACCAGTGTTGCCTCCCCATAATGTTTATCATCTAACACTGACTTACTCACCAGTGTTGCCTCCCCATAATGTTTATCGTCCAACACTGACTTACTCACCAGGGTGACTCAGGAGGACCCATGGTGATGCACTTCCACTCCAAAACCTTCCTGGTCGGTGTGGTCTCCTTTGGCTTCCGCTGCGCTGAGCCCAACTTCCCAGGAGTGTACACCAGGGTCAAAGCCTACCTCGACTGGATTTTGTCCAACCTTAACTAATTTGCTTTGAAGACACCGGAAGGAGGATCAAGCCTTCATTACGTGTGAGGAATGACCCATATGGGTTTAGTGCCTCACAGTAATGCCTAATATTAGGAGGTAACAGCGCGGGGAATATTTATTATTATTATTATGCGCTAAACCAGAAAGGGTCATATAGTGCCTGCTGAATAGAAGGCAATGAGTTGTGATCCAAGGTAATGAAGGGTAGCTTCAGTTCCTTGGATCAAAAGAACATCAACAGTATGAAGGTACTTTTCTCCCGCTTAAAGGAATCAGTAAATACTTAACTAGCGGTATGGATTTTTTTTTACATAATTTCCTAAATGTAGAACAAAATGAATAATATAATAATTGCATATTGAAATGTGATGCTTTTTGGACCATTCGAGAAATTTTAAGTGAAGGGATGGGTGTGGAACAGCCAGTTAGGACGCCGGAAGAGGCGCCATTTTGAATGTGTCAACACTGGTTGTCGTGGGAACTTGTGCTAATAATTCGGCATTTTCCGAGATCTAATGGGGTGTTTTGGCCTCAATATGTAATAGGAACCTTTATTAATGTCCCCTGCTGAAGAACTGAGACAGGAAATTTGCAGGACCTCAAGAATTGCGTGTGGAGGATGAAAATAGAGGACTTCAATGATTCCTTCCACAACAACACGCCTTAGCTAAGTAATTACTCTTAATGTACAGTAGTTTTTGCGTTGGCCATCGTAAATTCTAGCTGCCAGGGGTTAGGTTAGGGTGTGTTCTATCAGCATTAAGTGTTTTCCAGTAAAATGGTAAGTGGTAATGCAAAGTTCTTTGTACTAGTAGTTATATTGTTGTATACTCTGCAAGCAGGTAAACCAAAATACCATAATCCACTTAACTTCAATGTATCAGAGTAACTGGTTTTAATATAATTATTAATTTAATGTCAGGTCTAGCTTTTTGTGAAAGTAGTGAGGAGGTGGGCAGTCAAAGGAGTTGCTCTTCAGTGACCTACTGTGACTTAAGTCCTACTTACCTCGACCAAATTACTTACCTGCAGGTAATAATTCAGAAATGGCCCTGTAAACCTCCTGCAGGTAATTTTCTCACAAGCGGGTTATAACAAGCTTGTTCAGGCCTGCAGTGTCACAGTGCATGTGATGCCTCGGGGGTTACTTGTCGGTCTTATTGAACTTGAAGCCACGACAACCAGGCACACATTGTATGCTTAACAGTTCGAAAACGGGAGAAATTATTTACGAATATTATCTCTCAGTCCACATCAATATTCGAACCTGCAAACTCTGCGTAAGAGTACACAGTACTTGATTCACACAGCCAAGAAAACTGTTCAAAACATCAAGGAAAGGTGCTCGAAACATCAAGAAAACATGTTAGAAACGTCGTCAAGGAAACTGCTCGAAATTCTGAGTCTGGCTGTATGGATAAAGTACTGTGTACTCTAATGGCCGAGTTTGCAGGTTCGAATCCTGCAGTGGACTGAGAGACATTGTGTATGTGTGGAAGATCTTTCATGTTTCTACATGTCTACGATAGTTACTGCTTGTTGGACTTAGTAATCTGCAAGATAATAAGTCACATCTAACATTCCACAAGTTCCTCAAGGAATATTTAAACGCGGTTGAATGTTTCTGCCTTAAAGTGGTGGTGCCTTAATGCCAGCGGTCCTTTATTCCAAGGATATAGAGTTACCCTCCATATCCTCGGATCGTTAAGGTGGGTGATACATAAGGTATCATACATTCACACTAGTTGACAGCTTGATTGATGATCATTTAACAAGGATTAGGTAGGTATTAGGTTTGTCAGGAAACAGGACAAGTGTTTCGTGATGCGGGTCTTAGTTATATGATGACCCCACAGCTGGAGCTTTTGGTCATCTGACCGAGGCCTTCCACTGGCTTACCCCTTCACCCCCTTTAAAAATTATGGCCAAGTTTATAACGATTATTATTTACAAGAAATACACAAGACACTGTCTACTTGATTACTGAAGGTTTACGATGGAGAGATTGACCGTATCAAGACCTTCATAAAGACTTTTGCATATAAAACTTATTACAGCTCTGCCTTCTATACGCTTCTGTTTTTTGCACTAGTTTCGTATGCCTCCTGCTGCTGCTGCTGCTGCTGCTGCTGCTACAAGCTTGTTACTCAGCCAGCCACCTGCTGCTGCTGCAAACTTGTTACTCAGCCAGCCTCCTGCTGCTGCTACAAGCTTGTTACTCAGCCAGCCTCCTGCTGCTGCTACAAGCTTGTTACTCAGCCAGCCTCCTGCTGCTGCTACAAGCTTGTTACTCAGCCAGCCTCCTGCTGCTGCTACAAGCTTGTTAACTCAGCCAGCCTCCTGCTGCTGTTACAAGCTTGTTACTCAGCCAGCCTCCTGCTGCTGCTACAAGCTTGTTACTCAGCCAGCCACCTGCTGCTGCTACAGGCTTGTTACTCAGCCAGCCACCTGCTGCTGCTACAGGCTTGTTACTCAGCCAGCCTCCTGCTGCTGCTACAAGCTTGTTACTCAGCCAGCCTACTAGACTGGAGAATACACTAGACCTCATCTTCACTAACAATGATGATCTGATAAGAAATGTCACCATATCAAAAACAATATACTCAGATCACAACATAATTGAGGTTCAGACATGTATGCGCGGAGCCCCAGACCGACATAATGAGATTAGTCACGAGGGTGCATTCACCAAATTCAACTTCAATAACAAAAACATAAAGTGGGACCATATACTGGGAAGATATACTAAGCAACACAGACCCCAACTTATGCCTAGAACAGATTAACTTGGTGGCACTCGATGTATGCACAGGGCTTATTCCTCTAAGAAAAAGGAGGAGTAGATGTAAAATAGAAAGAGACAGGCGCTCCCTTTACAGGCGACGGAAAAGAATAACAGAGCGGCTAAAAGAGGTCAGTATATCTGAAATGCGTAGGGAGACACTGGTCAGAGAAATAGCAAGCATCGAACTTAAGCTAAAGGAATCTTATAGGAGTCAGGAATCGTGGGAAGAACTAAAAGCCATAAATGAAATCGAAAGAAACCCAAAGTATTTCTTCTCCTATGCCAAATCAAAGTCGAGAACAACGTCCAGTATTGGGCCCCTACTTAAACAAGATGGGTCCTACTACAGATGACAGCAAGGAAATGAGTGAGCTACTAAAAGTCCCAATATGACTCGGGTTTTTAGCAAGCCGCTAACCAGACTGAGAGTCGAAGATCAAAATGATTTTTTTTATGAGAGCCACAGAATTTGGTTAACACAAGCCTATCCGATGTTATCCTGACGCCAAATGACTTCGAACAGGCGATAAATGACATCCCATGCACTCTGCCCAGGGCCAGACTCATGGAACTCCGTGTTCTTCAAGAACTGCAAGAAGCCCCTATCACGAGCCTTTACCATCCATGGAGAGGGAGCATGGACACGGGGGTCGTCCCACAGTTACTAAAAACAACAGACATAGCCCCACTCCACAAAGGGGGCAGTAAAGCAACAGCAAAGAACTACAGACCGATAGCACTAACATCCCCTATCATAAAAATCTTTGAAAGGGTCCTAGAGCAAGATCACCACCCATCTAGAAACCCATCAGTTACACAACCCAGGGCAACTGGGTTTAGAACAGGTCGCTCCTGTCTGTCTCAACTATTGGATCACAAAGACAAGGTCCTAGATACACTAGAAGACAAAAAGAATGCAGATTTTAATATATCAGACTTTGCAAAAGCCTTTGACAAGTGTGGACCATGGCCGTAACAGCGCACAAAATGCGTGGTTAAAGGAATAAAGGAAAAGTCGTCGATGGATCTATAATTTCCTCACTAACAGAACACAGAGAGTAGTAGTCAACAGAGTTAAAGTCCGAGGCAGCTACGGGTGAAAAGCTCTGTTCCAACAAGGCACAGTACTCGCTCCCATCTTGTTCCTCATCATATCTGACATAGACAAGGATGTCAGCCACAGCACCGTGTCTTCCTTCGCAGATGACACCCGAATCTGCATGACAGTGTCTTCCATTGCAGACACTGCAAGGTCCAGGCGGACATCAACCCAAATCTTTCAGTGGGCTGCAGAAAACAATATGAATTTCAACGATGAGAAATTTCAATTACTCAGATATGATAAACACGAGGAAATTAAATTTTCCCTTTCAGAGTACAAAACAAATTCTGGCCACAAAATAGAGCGAAACACCAACGTCAAAGACCTGGGAGTGATCATGTCGGAGGATCTCGCCTTCAAGGACCATAACATTGTATCAATCGCATCTGCTAGAAAAATGACAGGATGGATAATGAGTACGTTCAAAACTAGGGAGGCCAAGCCCATGATGACACTCTTCAGGTCACTTGTTCTATCTAGGCTGGAATATTGCTGCACACTAACAGCACCTTTCAAGGCAGGTGAAATTGCCGACCTAGAAAATGTACAGAGAACTTTCACGGCGCGCATAACGGAGATAAAACACCTCAATTACTGGGAGCGCTTGAGGTTCCTAAACCTTGTTCTTGTTCTTGTTCAGACCAGAGCTTTGGTGAGATGGGGAAGGAAGAAGGATGGGTAAGGATGGAAATATTGGAAAAGGGGGGAGGGGGGTGAGAGGTAGGAGATAAAGGTAAGTGGCCCAACCACTTTGGTGCAATTTAAAAAGTGTACGTGAAATGATAATATATTTAATTAAGGGGTATAAGACTAACCCATCAAAGTCACATAGATATAACAGATATATAAGTACATGACTCTGAATTATACAAGTTGCAATTGTTTTTTTTTTTTTTTTTTTTTTTTTTTTTTTTGCGATTGCACAACGGATGTTTATGCGACAAGGAAGGCATAATTTTCTGGCCAGTTTATAAATTTCGTGACAATGGCTTCTTACAGGTGGTGTCCAGCCATAGTAAATAGCATAATTTTTACATTAGAAAGTTATATATGATGTCTCCCTAATTGGGGGCGATGATTTTCTCAGTATACATAGAAGGGTTCTGGTGCTACCCAATCCTCTTCATCAGGGAGGTTGCTCAATATCATGGGTGGGAGAGTCATTCGTTGAGTCCTGTGAGGAGGAGTAGTGATAGTATAATCCGTGGTATTAACCACTTGTATAGGGATGTTCTCTATCTGGCATGTAAGTCTTGCATTGTATAAAGTTGTTTCTTTTTTAAGGTGTCAAGGCGTACATTTATGGCAGTAATATCTTCTTGTATGTGTAAATCTGCCATTTTAACTCTGTCTCTCCTCCTGGTATCGATGAATGAAGCGAAGAGCCCCTATCTGACCCTTTTTAACCGGGCATGTTGGTCTTTGTTGTTAATGACATTGGGACACAAGGGTATTCGAGTATTGGTCTTATTATCATTTTATACAGATGTTTTTTGACATGTTGAGGGGCTTGATTGAATCGAAAGAGTCTGCTAAGACCGGCTTTGGCTATGTTGATCTTTTTAGTTACATGAGATGTTGAGTGGAGCAGCCTGTCGATTTCATATCCCAGAATCTTGTTAGGGTTTCTAATGGCTACAGGTGTACCTCTGATGGAGATACCCCCTTTATCTTCAATTGTTGATGCAAAACATCCTATCGTGCTAACAAGGACCTTGTCAGGATTAGTTGTAATTCTCCATTTCTTTTCCCAATTAGATGTATAATCGCTGTATAATCCTCCG